TTCCGATCTGGAAAGAGTATCAACTCTAAGGAGGTAAGGGATCAATGAGATTAATTAATTAATCTCGTCACTGGTTATTTAAAAATTTTAAGGAGGTTATAGGGAAGCTTATTTGGCATAAGCTTGGAAAACATCTAGTTACTATCACGAGAAGTTAGTGATGTAAGATCCCTAACTATAACTATTTAACTAATCAAATTTAAATATTGAACAAGATAATGACGTTAATTAACATAACTTACAAGTCTAGTTCTTTCCGTTTATTTTATCCTCTTCAATAAAAACCACAATTATGGTATCAGTCAAAGCGTTTATTTAAGTAAACTGGGGATGAAACTGACTCCAAACTCACCAAAACTTTTAGCAGTTATTAAATGGTAAAACGCAAATTTACTCTGAAATGGGCAATATCAATGTTAAATTGTTAATTGATACATAGATCATAAGTTTCCATTATACAACTTATCCTATGCGAGGGAATGAGATGACCTAGCAACTTCTAGTACTGAGGCTGGTGTATAATTGTAATTGCAAATGACCAAAATTGTGCTTTTACCCTGTTCAAACCAGTCTCTTGTAAAGACAACCAAAATATAATTCAATGTATCATTCTAGAGTCCGAAGGCTGCTGCAAGAAAATACGTTCCATCCCATTTGTTATGATTTGCTGCATTACAAGAACTAGAATACAGGGGGAATTTCTGGATATCAAAGATAATTTTAGTTTGCTCCTTGATTCATGATAAAAAAAATGTCAATTACTTAATCAATTTCTCCCTCTTCTATATCATTTACAGGATTTGGAACACACGGTGCATCTCCTTCCTCCTCATCATCATCAACTTTAATATACAATCCTAGTTGTTCCAAGGGATTACCACCCCCAAACTTGAAACTACCCATGCCATCCTGAGAGTTATCAGGACTTGTCTCACCTACAGAACTCGGTAAATGCTCAGCAGGTACAGCTCTAAGCAATTCCAAATCCTCAAGAAATCCAGAATTCTCATTGATTTCAACAGTTTTTTCCATCTGCACAGAGATGCCAATATATGATCCAATATAAACCAAAGCAAAAATGTAGACGGACATATTTCAGTTAGATAGTCTGCTTATTTACCTGTAGCAGTAATTGTCTTGCAGCTTCTCTCTCAAGCTCCCTTTTACGTCTGGCTTCTGCAGCAGCTTCTGCTTCAGCCCGCTTCCGAGCATCTTCAGCAGCCTTTGCCTCTGCTTGTAGCCTCGCCTTTTCTGTGCAAAGGAGTCAGATCAACAAATAGATTAGTTAACATTTAATAGCCAGTATTGGCACAGCACGCTTATAATAATACACAAGTAGAACACCAAAATCACCTTTCTGTCGCTCCATCTCCAGCTTTTCCTTATGCTGGCGCAATTTCTCAGGATCACCCTGTCAAATTAAATTGAACAAATCACATACCAATCGAACAATGACCAGAAGAATAATAACAAGCAGTCAGTGCCAAGTAGCTCAAATATATGATGTGACATACCTGTGACAGTGTCTTTTCTCGAGCCTTCAAGATTGTATCAGCAAATCGATTCTTCAATAAGGCAGCTCGATAAAGTTTATCAGGGGAGACCTTCCTCTCCATGGGACCACATTCCCCTGCAACATTAATAAGATTATGGGTTCCTAGGTATTGAATATAAGAATAGAAAAATGTCTTCCATAACACTCGCATGCATACCATCTTGATGGCAATCAGAGCTTGAAAAACTAGGCTTTTGCTGAGATTTATCCTCAAGTTTATCCAAGCCACTAACAGATTCTGTAAGAAAGGTTAGGATCATTAGAGTACAAGACAACAATCGCCTCAATTTTATCAGGATCGGTATTAGTGGAACAGCTAAAAACATTTCAAGGCTACCAAGTAAAGATACATAAGTTTATCACGGCTCTAGTAATAATATGCTAAAAAAAATTCAAGACTGACTAGTAAGTAAAGATACACAAGTTTCTAATAATAATAGCAAAGTGATAGTTGTTAATTCAAGTCTGAAATGTCCAATGGGAACATAGATGGTTTCAGAATAAATTATTATTTATTAGATAAAAGCTTCTTATTGCCAAAAAAAAGTTAAACCGAAATTATTTCCTTTTCCTTTGCTGCTCGAGTGTTCTTTCAATAAGATTGTGGCCTTTCACAGAAGAAATCACAACCATAGTAGCTGCAACAAGGATTTTATGTTAGAATCCCTTAATCCACCCAAAAAAAAACCAGTAGTCCCACCCTTCAGGGAAAAAAATATATCTCTGATATCATGTTGAAGTTTGAAATAGCAGGACCTGAGAGAACCATAGTAGCTGCAACAAGGATCTTAGGGTTAGAATCCCTTAAGTCACCCAAAAAAGACACAGTAGTCCCACCCTACAGGGGGAAAAAAAAAAAAGAACTCTGACATCATGTTGAAGTTTGAAATAGCAGGACCCAAGAGAAAGGGACACAAGGTTGAGAGATTGAGTCTGATAGCTTTCTGTGATTTGTATTTTTATACAGAATGAATTCACATTATATTCCAAGTATAGCTATAAATATATTATATAGGAACTATATAGGAGAGATACTGTTGCAATTGAACAAGTTCAGCTGTACCAGAATTCAACATATCTGTGGGGCCAACTCCAACTAACGGCTCAGTTAGGATATGTCAGCTCACAGTAAACTGATATAACAGATCTGCACATTAGGTGTTTTAACAGCTCAGTATCCTAGCCAGAGTGAGCAAACTGAATATGCCACAGTTCATGGCTACATTATATGAAGCAGTAGACATACAAACATATACTAACAGTTGCACTTCAATGTTCTTCCAATGAAGTTATCCAACTACCTCCCAAAAGCCTTGGTGCAATTTTATCAAACAACCATTATATCCCGTTATATCCGAATGGCAGAATAGTCTCTAGGCAAATCACCATCTCATCTGTTATTTAGCCTTTTATAACAATGTCCACCATATCCGCCTTGACACACACCATGGCCGTCACACCATAAAGGTTTACAGCATTCTTGACAAATATGGCATTTTTATATATATATAAAAAAAAAAAAATTATATATATAAAAAATAAAAATAAAAACATTTTGGGGCTTTTGACCCAGGCCAACCCATTTGAAAAAAATCTCCAAATCTACTGCCCCCAAATGCTGAACACCGTTGTCCCAACCCCAAACGGTGTTGCTTCCCTAGGGTCCTTTGAACCTCCATTCAACTCCAGCAACCTTAACCGCAGTGGCCACTCACTCCAGCAACATGAACCAGAACAGCCCCTCACTCTAGGGACCATTCCAGCTAGCTTAGGAGTGAGGTTCAAAACAGTTTTTTTTTTTTCGTTTTTCTATTCTTTTTTTCTACTTCTTCCTCATCTATTCAACGATTCTTCACCCATTTTGTTCTATTTGAGTTCCTGTTCTTCATCTTTTATTCTTCTTCATCAGATCTTCATCAGTTGAGCCTGGTTTGAATTCCTATTTTATTCTAACGTTGAAAATTACATTGAGGAAGATGAGCGGAATTATGAGGATGACTAAAATTAGATTAGTAAAATGTGTCTTGCTTTCAACTTTTTTGTTGTTTTTTTGAAAAATATCAATGAATTATGATATTGTTATTTTCATATTTAACTATTTAAGTTGATATTGTGTTGTTTTAAATTTATTTTTGTTTGTAATTTATTTTTTGCTGATTTTTTTTGTTTATATATATATATATATATATGTTTATAAAAGATTTTTGACTCACCGCCATAAAGTGTTATCTGTTATCGATAACCTTGCCGTTATCAATAACCTTGCCCTAGTGTTTTCTGGCCAAACCTGTTTGTTCTCCATCAACCCTAACTTGTTCTGAGGGCTTTGCTTTCACCTCTGTTCCACACAGATTCATCATCTTCCTCATTCCCAGCTTCTTCCTCTTTTGACTAGTTGTGGCTCATTTCAATTTCTCACGGACCTTTTCATAAAAAGAATAGTCTCACTTATGATTGTACCTGTTACTAATTTGTTTATAGTCCTTTATTCGGGTACATTACCCACACGTAGTAGACTGTATTTATTTGTTCTATTTCTAGCCATCTGATGGGTAGCCCCAAGTTACATAGTAACTATAGAGTAAGTTAGTTGGGGGCTAAGATAATTAGAGAAACAAGGGATGTTGCCTATGAATAAGAAAAGGGGTTGAAAGGGGGATTGATCTTGTCATTTGTGAGAGGATTGGGGCCTTTGGGAATTGGGAGATGCAGACCCTCAAAGTTCTACAAGTTAGGCTGCTTTCTTCCTGTAATTCTGAATTCTGATCAAGTTATCACCATCCCACTTCCCTGCTTCAATTTCACTGTTTGATTGTTGACTTGTCAATTTTACCTAAGATTGATGGGGCTGTGCATCCAGACAACGACTTTTGGGGCTGGCTACTGCACAGTGCACAACTATGCATCTAATGCAACATCCAAATTTTATAACACTTGCCATATGCTCTTGTTGGCATTTTATCACATAACATCACCAGAAAGCATCACTAGTCTTATGGCCCTGCAATAAAATTTTTGTTATAGCTTAAGAGGAACTTTTCTATCACAAGTAACTTCAAAAGCATTTACCATTTCATCCACTTGGTTTGCATCTATAAATTACATCTCCCTTTATTTCTCCATTGACTTGATATACAACAAACTTCAACGTAATATTTTTCTTTTAAAGCTATGATACCTTTATAAATTAAGCTTGCATATTTTTTCCCAACTCGCTCTATGGTTTCAGGTAGAAGGGTTAAACAAACCTCTAAGCAATAAATAACGTTGAATTCCATAATATTTAAAACCATGCCAATGAAGGGAGTATTGTTAGGGGACGCACTAATTGGCTAGGTCTTGAGATTAATATGAAAAACGAGAGATAATAACCTTTGGTAATGCCAGATTTACAAGTTATCAAGATGGCTATGCCAAACAATTATCCTAATTAAATAAGTATCTACTGATAATGAAAAAGTCATCTATGATATCAAAGTTTAACAATAGCCAAGAGACGTATCTGACAAAAGTAAAAATGAGAACAAGGTAGTTAATCACTGAGGCGTGCACCATTGTAGCAGCACAGAAAAAATATGGGGTGGTAAGAAAATAGGGTATTGGGAGGGTTTAAGAATATGAAGGATATGGGGTAGCAATTATAAGAAGCAGCCAGGGATATGTTTTAAATATCTCTAAACTGCTTCTCTATGATCTAAAAAAGCTCTTATTTTAGAAGTTCAAAAACCCATCTAAAACGAAAGTGCAACTTGTGTTTTTCTTTAATGTTTCAGCTTTTAAAAAAAATATTTTTTATTAGCAAAAAGAATATCCAAATGACCTCATGGTCCTTCAAATAAACCAATTTCTTTGAGGGTCAAGCCACTTACACAAACTGCATAAAAGATTAGGCTTCATGGTTAATGAGAGTAATAACACAAGGGCAGACCAAGGCATCAGCCAAAAAATTCTCTTTCAAACACAAATCACTCACATTCCACCTTTTTTCCTTTGTCTCAACCAATTTACATCCCTCAACCAGAGCAAACTGTAAGGATCTTGCAATGCAGTTCACATCATTTGGCAGCACTATGATATCCCCACTTTAATAGAAGCGGAACACAACAGAAAAAATGCTGCAGCCTCAATATTCACTTAAACTACAACCCCCCAAAACATTTACATTACTTTCACTCTTCATAAAAATAAAAAAAATAAAAAAATCTGTATTATGTATCTGAAGATAAATTTATATTTCCAATAAATTCTGCAAAACCGTCAACAAGAATCTACAGCAATTGAGCAGATTTTACAATCTCCTTTCATTACAATGTTAATCAATATGGATCTTTAATTCAATATCACTTAAATAAAGATAATTTCCATGCCAAGATATACAATAAAAATAAATTATCTCCCAGTATCAGGGCTCCATGAAGCACATTATGTATGATCATGACATTCATTTGAGAATCCAACTCAGAAATCTATATAGAAAGCTGAGAAGCCGGGCAGAAAAAACAAATCATACAAAGAGACTAACAATGAGATGGAAAAAATCATATTTTGGTTCATAATCTTTCGCGTTCTACTGCAGTGCAGATAATACTTGATCATTTTCAAGGACTATAAAAAGACAAAAAGAAAAATTACTCACGATTTCTTCCAGAAGCATCAGTGGCCCTGCTATTTTCTACTGGCTGAGCTCCATATCCCATATTTTCTGGTTCCTGAAGAGGATCCCAAATGAATAATGAATAATTATAGTACAAAGCAAAGAAACCAAAGGCAGGATCCAAAACAACATCAGCAGTTATAAAAATGTAATGAAAAATAACAGACAATCAAATATGATCTTTCAGTCTTTCACTTAAAAACCAACCAGACCTTTGCTACCTTTGCTGGATTTGATTTAACATCATCAGATTCACTATCTGAAGAATCACTAGCGTCTGTATCTGCAATGCACACAGTGGATTTCAGCACTAATTAACATACATTAGATTTTCCAATTAATGTCAAATGAAAATGTAAGCAAATCAGCATTTCATGTCATGCCATGGACCAACAACCTTGAAAGCTCAAGCTATTATGTGAATATCTTAACTGTCTGTGCAATTAATTATTTCAAAATTGGAAAATTTTCATCAGGAATTTCTATTTTTGTAATTTCTGAAACAAATCTTATAAAGACATTAATATTCATTATACAGACAAAACTCATTAAAATAATCATGTGGCAATATATTTGTCGAACTCAAACACAACACAACAGGCAAAGATATGTAGTTTTACATATTCTCAGAAGGTAGAAACTAATTCCAGTCATGTGAGAGAATCCTCCAATTGTTTTGCATATATTGATCAGAGGATTTTTTTAAGAATGACCTCCTTGTCCCTTGTCAGAAAGGGCTGGTGAGAAAGAAGGGGGTGGGGGGTTTGCATTAGAATGCTGCTAAATTAAGCAGATTCCTCATTCCCATATTCAGATTACGGGGAGCATGGGGAAAACTTCTGCAATTAATTGATCTAAATTCTTAACCTTCTAAAAACGCCCCTAACATGCCTATGACATGTAGCTCTTATTCAGAAGCAGGAGCAGCTGCTTACCTGTTCCATAGTTGTCAGGCAGCAACCCAAACTTGGAAAAGACATTTTGAGTTTTTGTTGTGTTGGAGTACTCAAAACTTAAAAGCATTTTCTAAGCACTATGTTTGCTACACTCAGGTGCATATGGTTAGAAAAGAATGCCTGTGTTTTTAAAAGAAAGTCTTCCAAACAAGGTTATTTAACAGGCCTCTCTTTAGTGTACTAAGATTCATCTGACCAGTCCCTCTTATAGAATTGCAATTTGCAGAGGGATTGCAGAGTTTTAGCATTTATAATTTTGTTTCTGTTTCTGTTAGGCAGCTATCTTTATTCTCCCTGAATATTTTATACCTGTTCTTCTAATAAAATATTATTCTGCCGCAGCTCTTCTAACTTAAAACCCACAATACCTAGGACTAGGAGACACTGACTCATTAATTGCACAGACCATGTCAACCACAAAGAAGTTACATTAATATCTAATGAATTTGAAGCATATATATAAATCATCAAAGAACTCATCTTGAAATCGATTTATATCATTTTGTATAGCAAGTAATTGTCATGTTCATCTTGGATGCAAATATATAAAATTAAGTATAGATATATCATTTAAAACAAAAAGCATGATGTTTCTTTTGTTTTAAAAAGCATATTTTACCTCAGTGGGCACCAAATAATCTTGGCCCAATATGATAAGCAATGAGCATGAAACAGGACAGAAGGAAACTAAAGAGGTTACAACCAATACCATGGCAGTAAAGTAACATTTAGGAGGAAACTATAAAAAATTAAAAATTAAAAAAATCTTAATATGTATTTTTCAACAAGATACTTCTAACAAATTATGTAACAAAAGTATTCTATGTTCAAACATTTGCATCCTAGAATAATCAAAGAATTACAAAGTATTCAAAACCATCATATAAAAATTCAAACCACACTTACCACTGCTTCCTGGACTTGAACAGTTGATTCTGCAAGCTGTATCCTTTTCAATCTCCACAGGAGGATAGCTTGAGAAAGGGGGCTCATCTCCAACTATGTCCACCTCTTCATCATCATCGGGCTCATTACCTACAAGTGGAACAAAAATTTAAATGGAAAAACAAAAGAGTATTCATGTACAGAAAACAACATGCAGTGTAAAACCTTTAACTGGTAGCAATGAGGAATTGCTTGGTCCAGAGTCATTCAACACCTGCAACAGAAAAAATAGATACACAGAAGCCAAATCATATGTATTGTAAGAATGATATCTCACTGTGGACAGGGAGGATGAGTACACTTCAGACAAAAAGTGATATATTAACTTGATTCGTGACTGAGTTTCAAAGCAGATAGGTACCTCTATTTCACGCACTTCAAGTTTTGTTTTGTTCTTTTGTTTCTCTTGCAAAAATTCATCCAATAGCTTTCGTAATGTGATCAGTGTATCATCCCTGAGATCATCAATATCAATCTCAATCTCATCCTCTCCACATTCTCCACCATTGGAACAATTTGCTTTTAAGAAATCAATGATATGCATAGGCATTTCCCCCAGCAAAGACTCCAATTCTCTACCAAGATTGTGCTTCTCTTGATCCGACATAACCCGCTTAGCAGGTGGCATAATTACAGGTTGAGGGGGCAAAGAGGTCATTTTTCTCTTCTTTGAAGTAGGCATCGGTCTAGTAGTTTTTGCATCTTCACAAGTGTCTAGCTTTGAAGGCAATGGAACAGCATCTCTTCTTGGCAGCTTTTTCTCAATTGTTTTCCATCTCAATTCAAAATATTTACTGAGGGTATCAGCCATGAAATGGACATCAGTCCCACGCGGATTATAGGTCATTGCATTTGAAAAAGTAAGCCTCACATCATCAGCAAATTCCAATCCACCAGAATATGCTCCTGCAGCTAGCTTGCCTTTTATTGTTCCCAAATCCATTGGATGCTTGATAATGCTGAAATAGTCCGGAAGATTCAACTTCACCACATCCACAGGGGTGTTGAAAACCCAACCATACTGGTGACCCATTAATCGTTTCAACAATGACTCACAATCTTTCATCAACAAAGCATTTGCAGCACTCGGTGTAGAAGTCCATGATGCAGACACAAATTTCCCAGAAGACCCCCGATTCCATCCTCGGGGCTTCTGACTTTGACCTAAAGGTTTCAATTCACTCCCTGGCACAGAACTGGATATTGACTGTTTTCTCCCCATTCGAGGCCCATCATTGCCATTGCTACAGCTAAGAATATCACTGGAAGATGACAACGTAACACCATTCGTTCTCCTCTGTTCAATTCTCTTTCGAAACACTCGAATCTGTTCGAGTTCGGAACTAAACCTATCCACCAAACCCTTCCTCTGGAAGGAAGACAAATTGGACAAGGGAACAACTTGCATGGGAACACCAAACGCATCATTCCCACTTGAATTCAAACTAATGCACTTCCTAGCAGGGATACCAGAATCCTCAGAAACACTAACTTGGGTGTCCATTCTCCCTGATGAACCAGACCCCTCTGTTTCACCACCTCGCTCCACTGCATTTCCATAATACCCTCCACATAACCTACTCTTCGCCATCATTACTGCTTAACCAAAATCGCAATTCTTATTTACTACCACACAAATGCAATTTTTCTCCTATTTGCTTACCAAGAACTTTATCAGCAACAATCATGGAAGAAAAGAAAACTTACAAATTCAGCTTCTCCCACAAAACCTAATGGCTTAGAACACTTTATTATTGCAGTGAAAATCAATGAAACTGCTAATAAATCTTCGAAGGAAACAACAAATTTGAACCCAAACACTGTCGAGTGTTCTTAAATAAAAATGGCAGCAAGAAAAAGAGTGGTATGTGGCGTAGTTACGCCACTTGCAGTGCAGAGTTACCGCCACTGAGTGAAAAAAAAAATGGTCAACGAGACTTCAACGCCTTTCTTCGGTGTTTTATTGCAGCAAACGAGATTCGAAGAAGCGACACTGCGAACCCTAGCGGAAGAAACTGGAAACTGCTTAATGAGACGCAAACGCGTTTTTGCGCAGACCGAGAAGGGAAGTTCGGAGTAGAGAGAAAGAGGGGAACGACGCCGTTTGCAGAGGAAGGAGTGCGAGTGGCGAGAACGAGTTGGCTCTCACTACTTCTCGCCTCGCCTCCTATGCAAATGTGTCGCGCTCCCACGCATTTGAACCCTTCATTTGGTTTAAAACTTTCATATGCATTTTCTTTAACAATAATTTACCATAATATACACTTTTAATGTAAAAATATTTTACATTGATAATCAATTATATCTTTTAATTATATTATGTTACTGTTAAAAGTAAGTATCTTTATAGTAATATGGGGCACAATTAAAAAATATAATTGATTATCAGTGTAAAAAAACTTTACACTGAATTGATTAACTTTTTTTAATATATTTTTCTTTAACAAGAGTGTTTCTAAATATATTTTTAATTTTTTATATAATTTAATTTTTATTTATCATATTTATCATTGAATTAAATTTTAATTTTTGATAAAAATTCATTTAAATTCTTATTTAATTTAATTTTTATTTATTATAGTTATTTATAAATTAAACTTTAATAATTTTAAAATATATTATCAA